GCCCCCCTGAGGTTTGAGAAATTACGAATTCCCCCCTGAATGCTATATTTGCATAAGAAATTATGGGGTAATTTGTTATGAAATATAAACCTCAGGGGGCAAATTGTTATGAAAATACAAACCTCAGGGGGCGGGATGTAATTTCTGAAACCTCAGGGGGGTATCTGTAATTTAGCCAAACCTCGAGGGGTGTATATGTAATTTGCCCTAAATAAATTCATTTAATTTTTTTACTATCACATCCCAAGTCAATTTACGTCTTCCCCTAACATTTTCTTTTACGGTGATCCTATCACATTCTTCTCTACCATTTCATCTGCTAGTCTTCATTGTACATACCAAACCATCTTAGTTTGTTCTCTCTCAACATATTTTCAATTGGTGCTACTCCTACCATTTAATGTATATTTATTTCTATTTCTCTCTGTCCAAAACTTACCAAACACCCACCTAAGGATCCTCATCTTAACTACACTCATTTCATGAGCTTGTTGTTTCTTAATTGTCCAATATTATGTGAACTGCAAAGTATCACTGGTCTTACAATTGTTTTATAAATTAACAACGTCAATTTTGTTAGCATCATTAATCACATAATATGCCAAAGGCACTCTACTTGAACCTACTTTGATTCTATTAGAGGTGGGAATTTCTAACACAACATGAATCGTACACGAAGTTAGGGGTTAGGGTTGAACATTTTCAACACAAACACAAATATGACATTATATAATAACATGATAAATAAATAGGGTTATGTCAAACCTACATAATATGAAATTGACACAGATAACCCATTTAATAGATAATTAGTTACAAATTTTAATGTTATTTTCATTAAAGGATGCCAAAAATGTTTAAATCTCTTATGTAACCTACACAATTAAATAAAGAAAATATGTAAAATAGTATTTTGAGGTTAATATAGTCATTTTGTCTTTTATTTGAGAGAACATGATCTTTTCATTTATTATTTTGAAGTCAATAAAAATATTTTTTTTTGAATAAAATAGAGTCAAAATTAAATTTTTTTTTTTGAATAATTTCATTTAGTAGAGATTAGTTTCATGAAATTTAACTTAGGAAAAAACGTTAATCTTTCCGTACACTTAGTATTTTTAATTGAAATTCATATTATGAAATTCATATTTGTCGTTTTTTTGAAAGATAAAATTGACTTTAACCCCATTTGTTTTACTCCATGTGTGATTTACCTCTAATATTTGAAAATAAGAACATAACCCCCTTATGACCTAGCACATGTTTCACACTTAATGTTAACTTGGATTGAACGTCTGACGGTATACTTCATTTAGTCCACAAACCACAAGAACATTATAGTTATTTCCAAATTATATGGGTAGTTTGCACATGCACATTGAAGTGAAATTTGCCCTTTATTAAATATGCACAATGTCTTGAATTGAATAAATACACCTAGAGGGTAAAATAGTATAGTGAAATAAATCAGGTGACAAATACCATTTCTCATATAGTATAATAGACGGCAAATTCAAGTACACAACCCCACCTTGATATTACCAAGTGAAATACTGAATAAAAGTGTATATATCTAGTATTATTATAAAGAGAAGTCTTCTCTGGGTGTTTATGTCTCATATTTTGGGTTTTTCAAAAATACCCCTATATCAGTTATATGGGCAGTTATGCACTAAATTCCTTTTTTTTTTTCTTTTTTTTTTCAAATCTCTCAACTTTTGAATTTTTCAGATTTATTTCAATTTTCAGATTTTGAATTCAATCATACAGTTTACAGTCTTATTTTCTGAAACAAAATGATCATATATATGTAAGCATGTGGACCTCGAATTGAAATTGGCAGTCCACCTTAATTCTCAATTCATGAATTTCATAATATGAATTTCAATTCTCAATTCTCAATTATATGAATTTCAATTGGCATAATTTTATTCTTAATTAAAAAAAATTCCTTTTATTAACAAGCAAAAAATAAAATTTCCAATTCAACAAATATAGGTTGGTTTATTCCCAATTCAAAATTCCAAACCCTAATTTCAAAAAATATAGACAGGATTCACAATTCACAATGCAAAAAATATAGACACGATTCAAAATTCAAAACCCTAATTTCTGAAACCACAAGCATAATTTTTGATTTCACAATTCAATACCCTGACATTTTATGATTTCATAATTTCATAACCACACATTCAAAACCCTAACACATTTCATAATTCAAAACCCTAACACATTTATGATTTCATAACCCTAATTTCTAATTTCATAATTTATGATTTCACATTCAATTGAAAACCCTACAAAATTTTCACAATTGAAAACCACAACATTTTTTACCAATTCAAAACCACACATTCACATTTTCACAAACACAATAAACACATAAAATTCAAATGAAACAGAGAGAGATAGATGCCATACCATGGACAGAGAGAGAGAGTGAGAGCAAGAGTGAGAGTCTGAGAGCAGAGGGAGAGCGAGAGTAAGAGTCTGAGAGCAGAGCATAGGGGAGAGCGAGAGTGAGGGTCGAAAAAACGTAAGTGTAAAAAACGTGATTGCAAATGAGGGGGCTTGGGGGTTTTATATAAGTTGTAAAAGCATGATTGCGATCCACACTTTCATTATCAACAGTGAAAGTGTGATTGTGAATCATGTTTTCTTAACAAAACAAATATGCACAGTGAAAGCGTGATTGCGAATCACGTTTTCTTAAGGAAACAATATGCACAGTGAAAGCGTGGTTTGGAACTACGTTTTCTTCAGAAAACAAAGCAAGCATAGTAAAAGCATGGTTTGAAATCACGTTTTATGAAGAAAACAAATTTATCTTAAAAGCGTGGTTTGTAACCACGCTTTCTTAATTAAAAGCGTGGTTTGTAATAGCGCTTTCACTATTTCACAAATTTTCTGCTCCAAACAGTGAAGCGTGATTTGTAATAGCGCTTTAGCCTAGTTTGGGAATTCCGTCCAAACTAGGCCTAGTTTGGGAATTAAGATGGTAATTTGGCTTAATATGGGAAAGGCCTCAACTAACTAAGCTACTGTCAGGGATTTTTTTTTATCATTGAAAGTGGTTGTTATGGGTGATGGTATATTGTTGGGTGATGTTATATTTTGCTTTAAGTTTTATTTTTATGCACGCTACATTACTAAAAATTGTAAAAATAATATTTTTTACAAACGTATCCTCGCCGTATCCGTATCCTAGTTTTCCAAATTTTGCCATATCGCCGTATAGTATCGTACCCGTATCCCATATCCGTGCTTCCTAGATCTCAACACAGTCAAGTTAATTTTTTTGTTAAATAGTGTGGGTCTTTGCATATTAGATCAGTCTTTTTATGTTATTAAAATAGTATATTTGTGTTTAACTAATATAGTGTCTTTGTGGCTATTAATAACCTATAATATATTTGGATTTTGATATATTGTTTATAGCTTTTTCAAATTTATAGAAGTAACCAAACACCATGGAGAAAGGTTGATCATTAGAGGACTTTTGAGAACTTAAAAAAAAGAAAGAGAAAAGGAAATGAAGACAGAGAGTGAGAGGAAGGTAGATACGTTTTTTTGAATACCACTTAAAATTGTATAGACATACATAACATTTGTATGTATGCTTTTGAATATATTTGGTGTTTGGCTACTTCTATTAAATATTTGGATTTTGATTTCTATTGAATATATTGTTACAATTAGATTTTTTTTGTGTGATTTGTTTTTTAAAATATCAGAGAGCTTGAAATATTTGATTTGGAAAAAATATTTGATTGCCTTATATGGTTGTGATTTTTTTTAAAGGTTGTATGAAACTTCTCAATAATGTATAAATGACGGAAATTACTTGGTAAATGCAAAATAAATACATCTCAAGATTAGTTTGAACGTAATTTTGAATACATTGGTGAGCTAAAAACAGAAAATCAAAAAAAATAAAAATAATGTATTTTCACATTTAATTAATCATTTCATGTGCCAAGTATTTCTATATCTTAGCCAGGATTTTTAAACCCACATCAACAAAATTTATTTATATATAAATTCATTCTATTCTATATAAAGTGAGTGGGGGTAGATAGAGGAGTGTCTTGAGAAGGGGACTTCCTAAAGAAATGGTGTATGGCCTAATGGTTTTTTAAGTGTGAAATCGGTCCTGTTTTTATGGATTTTATGACACTTCTTAAAGTGAAGAGCATGCCCTAGATCTATGAACTTTTTAAATTAGTATAGGAAAGGTAAAAAGAAAGTAGGGAATTTATGTCAAAGTTTGGAGAGGGATCCGGAGGAAAAGGGCATGTGAAATTATTTTTTGGAAAATGTTTTTTTTTTTTTTTTTTTGGATAAATTTGAACTCCAAATTTAAATTGGATTCTGTTAAAAAAAATAGTGATCAAGGTAGTTTATGTTTTACTATTAAAATGTAATTTTTTCACAAGATAAGCGAGAAAGATGGAGAGAAGAGAGATAATAGGGGTGATGTTATTTGTTTAAAGACTAGAAAAAGGAGTTTTTTTTTTTAACAAAACTTTGTTATCCACCTCGATGAAAGCCCCCGAGACATATTTTTACAATAAATTACTTTTTTCAGTTTTTACTTTAATTTTATTGGGGTGCATTTATGTCTTGGTAATTTTATAAAATTCATTTGAAAGTTGCAACCAATCGAATCTTTATTTATATTTTGACCTCAAATTTTTAGTAACGAATTTAATAAATTACATTTTAATTTAATAATTTTATATTCAATTATATTTTGATCTCATCATTAAGGCCAAGTTTGGCTATCCTAAATAAGTATACACTTTTTATCTTTTTTCTATCACATCATCTCTCTACTTTTTTGCACATTTTTTTTTAAAAAAATAAAAAATATACTTATTTAAATCATTCCAAACAACCCCTAATTGTACCGTGACTTTATACACAGCCATACTATATATAATCTAAGAATGTTTCATCATTATCTTCGTCATATTTTAATGTTTCATCATTATCTTCATTATATTTTTTTCCTGACCCTAACGTTACTTTTTTTTTGTTTTTTTTCCCCACCTGGCGCAAGGGTTTCTATTACACACCGTCGGAAGCTTTGGTTCATAGTCAAGTGACAGTGGAAGGGTTGATCTAGGGCTTTGGGGATTCATAGTTGGGGCATTCATAGTCAGATAACAATGGGGAGGAGGATATTGAACGAAGCGTTGAGCACGATCGTTAATGCAGAGAAAAGAGGCTTTGCCACAACTCAACTTCAACCCATCTCCAATGTCATGGCCTCCTTCCTCACAATCATGAAACATCGCGGTACCTCTCTCTCTATATATACACACATACACATGTGAAACCCTAACTTCAGTCATTTTGTTTCATGAAAGAAAAAGAAAAAAAAAAAAAATTATTTTGGCAAATGATGTTTTTTTGCAGCTCAAAAATCCGATTGATTCATTTGGGTTTTCAGATTTTTTGTGGAAGTGTCCTTTGTGTGTAAAGATTGGTTGATTTGAACTCTGTCAGTGTTAATTAAGGTTTACCTGGGTTGTTTTCCCTTAATAAGGATCATTTGTGGATTTCTAATTATCTCAAAATTTATGTCATTTAAATGAAACTCACTAACAGGCCGTTTACATTGAGGGGGTTTGGAGAGAAAAGAAAAGAAATGTATTGAAGAGAACTCTTATCACTTGTTTGGATCATAGGAGGTGAGAAATAGATATGTTAAACCTCGTGTTTTGTTTCTCGCCAAAATTGTTGAGATTTGGTGAGGCTTTTTTTTTTTCATGGCTGACGAGGAACCCTTGAAGGCAAGAGTGAACCTTTTGGACCCACCCAAGCACATAAACCCCGGGTGATGGTAGGGAGCCCCATCTCCCCACAGATTTGAACCTCGTTAGCTATGGATGGTGCTGGGGGGCGAGATTTGGTTAGAGGTGAAAGTTGTTGTATAATAACTGTAGTTCTAGGTTGCCTTTTTTTTTTCTTTTTTTTTTTTTTTTGTATGCCTTAAAAGTTTGCTTCTGGGGTTACTGGGACATTCTAACTTTCTAAAACTTTTTGATGAAATTGTCAAAAGGTGGGAATCATTCTCAATGGATTCACTCAAGGATTTTCGCTTTTAAGCAACGCTTGAGAGTTTTTCTGTGCAGAGATCAGATTGATGCTCATACTCAATCTTTGATGATGTGGATTAGAGTAATTCTATACAACAAAACGTACAAACTTCTTTACATACATACTGATGTATCATGTAGCTTATTATTAAATAATTTATTTGTAAATCACATAATGATGTGGCAAAGAAAACTCATGTGCAATGTCAGTTTGTTTGAAAAGTTTGTAAATTTTGTTAGTGTGTTGGCCTAAGGTGAGAGTTCTGATCTAGGAAGCACCTGTGTGGATGTGGATACTGGTGCGGGTACGCTGATACGGAAAATTCTTTAAAAAAAATAAGGTACAGGTACGGTTGGGGCACACCAATTTTTTTTTGGTTAAATTTTAAATTTATAGTTAAACATCTGATATACAAATTAAAGTTTCAATATCAAAACTAAAAGGAGAACGGCTTCTCTAAAAAGTTATATAATTCTTTCTTTTTCTTTTTTGATTGTCTAAAAGAGGATACAAAAGAGAGCAAAACCATAACTCATGGGTAAAAGGTGTTGGCAACAAATTCTAGTAGCTGCAAAAAAAAAAAAAAAAAAAAAAAAAAAAAAGAAAAAAAGAAACACCTTGCCGTACCCAGATGTATTTGCTATACCTAGCATGTATTCGCCGTACCCAGTACGAGTATTACCCAACATGTATTCGGCGTACTTGGTACGCGTACCGCTGTACCAGTACTAGTACGCATACTTGGACTTGGTAAGCATTCGATACTCGTACGCCACCATTTTTGAAGTTCCTATGCTTCATAGGTTCTGATTTAATGACCTATAGTTTTAGAGATAGCCTACTTGAAAGTGTGTTTGATGAATCAACATCAAAAAATAGGTATCCTGAAAAGAAGGATGATTTAGTCTGAGTTGTTTAGATCAAAGTTTTTAAAGGTGAATGTGTAACAAGGCGTTTTCCTACTGTGAGGCGAAGCGTAATTCTCAAGGCATCAAGGCGTAAGCTGTCATGTTTGGATTTTTAAAATATGGCGGCACATTCACTGAAAATAAATGGCCAATTTAGGCATCCAATGCACCCATCTTGTCAAGCATACAAACATTCATCACATCCACGCATATATGATACATAATTAAAAATCCAAGATCTTATATCTATTACATGCCTCCTAATCTCACATTTTCAACATTAGTTAAAATTAAGTTATACAATTTCATGATGATAATTATACAAATCTAAAGGAGAAGGGCCGACACATGCCCACTAATAGAGCTACAACTCACAACAAAAGATTGCCCAAGGGCATGGATATTTCATTTAGTCTTTACAAAAGGGATCACAAAATCCCACACCAGTCATTTTTCTTGAGATGCATTTGAAATTTGTTAAAATAAGAGGTAAGTTCTAACTAACTCAATAGGAAACGCCTACAATTTCTAAGCATTTTTATAGTGATGTGCGAGTGAGCACGAGTTTATAAAATAAAGGTTCAATAAGTTTACAAAATAATAAATAAATAAACATTAATCTCCTTAAGAAAAATATTAGAATTTCTATCAAAACTAATTCAAGGTTCATCAAATTGTCAATTAACTCAAGTCTGCACTTGTCATCATTATTATTTCAATTTGCCCATCATCCATACCCTACACACAAATGCCAACAACACACACACCAACACTATTGCTATTTGCACCACACACACACACACATCATAAATTGCACGCATCTAGTATAAGTCAAGTGTAATTTTGACCTTTGTCGATTACTATCAAAGGGACCTGTTATCCCGTCAATGATAAGTTCAATTCCGTGCACCCGCTAGCATGGGTCGAGTGAAATTCCATTCTTCATTGGTTACTGGTGGAGGGACTCGTTTTCTCGTCAATTCGAATGTCTTTCCATGTCAACTTTCAACAATAGAGGCTTAAATAATAGTTAGTTTACAACTTGCCCCATGGGCTCAAACGTATTAAGGGCTTGTTTGGTTTGTATTTGAAGATACAATTTTTGAGAAAAATTTTCAAAATTTTGTCTGTTTAAATTTTTTGGAAAAAATTTTCAAAATCAATTTCTCTCTCCTACACATCAATCAATCCCTTTTTCTTTCTCCTCACTCCTTCTCAATTACTTTTTCTCTCACACACATCTAGTCAACTACAACAAAATATCGAATCATCCTAAATTTCAAAATATACAACCAACGAAATCAAAAAAAATTCTAAACTCTCTCCCCTAATTTTTTTTTTGAAAATCTATCTCAAAACACAAACCAAACACATCCTAAGTTTCTCCCCAAATTTTATTCAAATTTGAGGTCCAAATTCGTCAAACTATCAATTCCAACATTCAATTACCAAGTATCCAAAATACCCAACCAAATCCCAACATGATCCAATATTCAATAAAGTTTCTTGTGTCACCATTTATATGATTTCTAAGTCATTCATATGTTCAAATCCAATAAACAAAGGCCAATTTCATAAAGTACCTGAAATTTAAAAGCTATAGTTCATATGATAATTGAGGCTTATGACATGATATTCATCAATTAAAGCTATTTAGAACTACCTTGTGTGTAGAAAATATGTATCTAGCATGCTCACACCATTTCTACATGGATTCAAGACTACGGCAAAGTGAATCATGTAGTATATTTTGAGACTTTTGGAAAATAACACATGTAACTATAAAGATATGTGGAGAGTAGGAATCCCCTACCTTAAAGAGAAGAGAGGAAAACCCTAGAAATTGAAAGATGATGAAATCCAACTCTACTCGGATTCAAAGTTCTTGTCGCATAGAACAACTTTAAACCTTTGACTTACAAACAAATCTAAGCTTAGATCCTCCAGAAATGGTGTTATATAGATAGGGTTGAGTGAGGTTATATATATATATATATATAGAGAGAGAGAGAGAGAGAGAGGATCAAAATTTGACAAGTGGGTATTTATGGTGGGTTCAAAAATCACTGCTTTGGGCTGAAAATCACACACACCTGCAGGTATCTCCCCTCGGGCAGACCAAAACAGAAAACAGGTGCTTCTCCCGTTGACCTCTACTCGGGTGGAGCCCATTCTACTTGAGCGCGCAAAACCAGCAATGGCACAGACTTCACGGGTCAACTAAAAATGGGTGTATCTCTTTCTTCCGAACTCGGAATTGAGCAAAATATGTATCTAAATTGAAGTTCTGAAAGTTTAATTTCAAATATTGGTGGTCTCATTTCAAAATTTCGACAATAAAATGAGATATACTCAAGATAATGCAAGGTGGTCTGATTGCCCCTGTGAAGCACGGACACGGACACGCATACGGACACGGGACACGGAATTTTTAAAAAAATGGGGACACGGACACGGCTGGGGACACAGCAAATTTTTTTTTATATAAATATTTTTATTTTAATACAAGTTAATTATTTTATTTAATTATTATATTTTTAAATAAACATGATTCTATTAATTTTTTTATTTTATTTTTTTTACTTTTTTTATTTATTAATATATATAAGTATATATTATATCTTATATTTATATATTATATAAGATATAAGATATGCCTTTTTATTAATATTAAATAAATATATATATATATTATACCAAATAAATACATTAATATTAAACCTAATAAATATATATATATATATATTATATATGAATCAGATCAGATCAGAGCAGAGAGAGAGAGAGAGAGAGAGAGAGAGCAAGAGGGAAGGCGAGAGACAGGGACGAGAGAGAGAGAGAGACTTACGGATGGACGTCGACAGGCCAGGCGAGTCGAGGTCGAGGTCGAGGTCATGGATGGAGGTCGACAGGCGAGAGAGAGAGCGTGACTTACGGTGGTCGACTGAATGGAGGTCGACAGGCGACTCGACTGGATCGAAGACCAGGTTTTACTCTTCTCCTTGACTCTTCTCTTTTGCTCTTTATGTCCAGATTTGGTGGACACGTGTGTCCCCGCCGTGTCTCCTCCGTGTCCCTGTAAAAAAAATAATTAAATTAAAGGGACACGCCATCCGGCGTGTCCCGTACGTGTCCCCGGCGTGTTCCCGTGTCCCCGGCGTGTCATGAAATTTGGCGTGTCCATGCTTCATAGGATTGCCCTTTTCAAATCTTTGGGGTTTTGATCAATTTTAACAAGAACCACCTTAGGTCAAAGTTTAACTCCTCAACATTCAAAATAGTCAACTCGAAAGTGACAACAGTTTTAAATCTCATCCAAGTGCGAACATGGCGTAATACGCCTAAAATAAAATAGATTTAAAATTATGGATTGTTACATAAGCATTTTGGCTTTTAATCTTTTTGTAAATAAACAAAATATTTAAAATAGTAAAAATAACAAAAAATAAATATAAATGTGTAAATATTTTTCTACTAAACACGTTGAACATTTTACTGCATAATATGAAGTTTGCCCTCATCAAAGGTGAAATCGACATTCTAAGTTTCAGTTATCGAGCTTTACACTTGAGCCTTAGCTGTGTTTTTTTTCTTAGTTATTTATTTACTTGATTTTGCCCATGGAATATGGTTACAAAAGAGGTTTTGTTTTTTATATTTAAACCATGTATTAGACCAAGTTTAACAATAACTCTAGACAAGTTCTTCATGTGTGTAATCCTTGTATGCTTATGCAAAAGGCATAAAAGGCGCACTTGAGGAGCACACCTGATCTTGTGATGTGCAAGCCTTGGAGGAGTATTGCTTGAAATTCTAAGCTTCAATGCATTTTGCCTTGGCCTTACCTTGAGGTGATCCTCGACATCAGCCTCAATAATGCCTTTTTAAAACTTTAGTTTAGATTTATGAGAGCTGTGATGCAGCAGTTCTATGCCAAAGTTCTTTTATATGGGGTATGTAAGAAGGACAAATCTAAAGAAGCTGAAGAACCAGAATTTGTCTGTAGTTTGGACAAAAGAAATATAAATAAATAGGTCAATACCATCTTTGCGTTTACCTTTAAATTTTTGTCCCCTCCTTGCATAGGATACATGAGGATAATGTTTATGCTTCTACGAAGAAACCAAGTCTATCTGGTATGACATCAAAAGGCCTTGCCAACTTAACTGGTAGCGTTTTCTATGAATGGGATGTTCAAGAAAATCAGAGATGGATGTAGACAAAGCAATTTCTAGCCTTTGACCTACCCTCTTTTTGTATCTCAATTTCATAATGGGTCAAATATGCTCAGGGGGATGCTACTTGCACATCTTATTGATACTGATTTGTTAATCTACTATGCAGGGTATATTAAAGATTTCCAAGTACATGATCCTCAGAGAGTTGGAAAGATAACTGTGGAACTGCAAGGCAGGATCAATGGTTGCCGGGCTCTCATGTATAGACAGGACATCAAGGCCCAAGATATTGAGAAGTATAGATTTCATAAACTTCCAACACATCAGGTCTGTCTACTAATTTTTTTGTAGCAGTTGAATTATTTTTCTGCTGCTCAACAGAAAAGGGATAAAACAAGAACTGGTTTGGTAATTATATGCCACGGCCTCTGACATTGATGCCAAATTTTTAAATGACCAATTTGTCCTTATTTATATTCAAGATTAAAGTTAGCTTAAGGGACAAAAGTCCAATTTCATTCATGAGCAATGTACTTTCCTTGTGTTCTCTCTCTTTCTGACTCTGTCTCTCTCTCCCTCTGTTTAGCTCCCATTTTCTTTTCTCTTTATGTGGTGTATGATCAGCAATCACATGCATTGCTTGTGTATACCTTTGAGTGCTAACTGCTAAGAGTTGCTCTCAAACTAGACAGTTGAATCATTGCCAACTGTCATTGGTAGTATGTCTCTGATTTGAGCCCTTTATTGGTCTCTTTGAATTGAATTCGAGACATCAGGTTGATGTGGTGTATGATCAGCAATCACATGCATTGCTTGTGTATACCTTCGAGTGCTAACTGCTAAGAGTTGCTCTCAAACTAGACAGTTGAATCATTGCCAACTGTGATTGGTAGTATGTCTCTGATTTGAGACCTTTATTGGGCTCTTGGAATTGAATTCGAGACATCAGGTTGATAATTTGATCTGTCCCTCTTTCATTCATTATTATTTTTAGTATGTGTTTGCCTTTGTAACCATCTATCAATATGGCCAACTAGTGTGCAGGCCTACTTGATCATTGATTTTCCCTGTTACTCTTTACTTCTTGCTGCCCACATGCCCATAAATCATAAGTGTTGCGGTCCATGATCATAAAGTACTGCTTGAGATGTTCATCTATAGACACATATTTTAGGTGGCACGCTGAAAGCAGGTTAAACTTTCTACAGAGGCAAACATTCTATACATAAAATTGAATTCAGTAGATGATAACCAGGTTATATACAAAGAAATAAATGTGATTATTGATGAATAGCAATGGAAATTCTGTCCATCCTGCCTACAATCCAAGTTAGAGGGTCACCACTTATAATTGCCACTTGTATATTGCCTACAATCCAAGCAGGAGTTAGAATTTTCTTTTATAATGGCATTTAAAGTGCTCAGGCAATCCAAGTTGGAGGACCACTACTTATACTTCCCACTTCTAAGTTTTTGCTTGTGGCTTGGCTTAATTTACATCAGTCTGTCAGTAATTACAACACCCTTTAGGTTAAATCCAGCTTTACCTCGTAATGCGACACCTTTAAAAATTTAAGTCATAAAATATATATGTTAGGAACTTGTTGAGAGAAAGCTACAAAGGCACCTTAGATGTGAGCATGAATCATTTTGGGAAAGATTATCATGAGTAGCATTGAGTTAATTCACAAGTTGTAGATTGTATTCTAATTACCAAATTATGAATACTGCCTTGCTATATGTTGTTATCATGAGTCTTAACACCTCTATTTACTTTAATTAGGTTGATACGAGATGTTATGAATTTGTGGACTATCTTGAAGTCTGAGAAACTTTGCAACCATTCATGGCTCTGTATTGTTTGCCATTTTGAGAGACTCGAGAGCTAAACATCATGGTTAATGAGGGAATTTTTGTAAATTGACGTAGAAAATTAAGACATAGGCCTTATTTTAGTGCATGTGCGTTATAGTTGCATGTCAAATTTTCAATTTTTTGTGAGATGCTTACTCATAGTACCATGTCAACTATAACAAGGTTTTCTTTGCATGCAGTGGGGATACATCGTGATTACTACACCAAACGGAGTTTTGGATCATGAAGAGGCAATCCGACAAAATGTAGGCGGTCAGGTTCTGGGGTATTTCTATTGAATGTTAATCGGACCACTATGGGAAGTGGAGGAGACATAATTTTGTTTTGCCTGATTTCTGTTTTATACATCCATGGTGTTCCTTTCCAGCAGGGACACATTTTATCATAAGACTTGAACGGCTCTTGCTATAGCGCTCCTCAATACAAGTTCTAATGACTGTTAATCAGAGACAGCCTAGGCGGGGTGTGTAGTTGATTTGAGGTTTTTTTTTTTTTTAAATTTTATTTATTGTGTTTTTGTTTAAGATACAATACGGGACATGAGTGTGTTTGGTTTGTGTTTGTAGAGTAGTTTTTGAGATAAAAAGTACGAAAACTTGTTTGGTTTGTCTTTTTTCAGAAATGGTTTTGGAAAATTATTTTGGAGAGAGTTTTAAAAAAAGTGATTGATTTGATGTGTATGAGAGAGTGATTTTGAAAAATAGGTAACCAAACAAAATTTTGAGATTTTTTTTTAAAAAAAATTGTTTGGTTTAATTACTCTTAAAAATTTGTTTGTGGAGAATTTTTTTCAAAATTTTTTTTGAAAAACAAACCAAACAAGGCCCGGATTAATCTGTGATTTTAATGGTTTGGTCTTCCTTTCGAAAATTGTTTAGAGGAGAATCATGAGAATCAGCTGTATCATGCCTGCATATTGGCATGATGGATTTAAGGTGTTGTTTGGCGCAGCTTATAAAATTGCTGATAGTGTTTTTATTTTACTTTGGGAGATCAGTACTTTTAGCTTTTGGTTTTGGATTATTAACTATCAGTGGTGCTACAGACCACTGAAAAGGGATTACTAAGCCAGCTCTAATGAGCTGGCAGTGTTGAAATTTAAAAAAAAAAAAAAAACAGAGTAAAATATCACATCAATTGGGGGGTTACAGTATTTTTAGAGCTATTAGAGCTCATTATTTTAGAGCTCTTAAACAATTTTCACTAACTATTAGTTTGAGAATAACTGTACCAAACAGTCCTAATGCCCTCAAATAGATATGTCGAGAACACCATCTTCGCTTGTTTGCTACTGGCTAGGGATGGACTAACCTTGCGTCAGGCCTTAGAATATATGTGTCATCTCAAGTTCAGTCCGGTCGGCATCTAGCCTAATCTAATTATCTCAAATGCGGTTTTAAAAAAACTTTCAAATTTCAAGCTTGCCAGCTTAACATAATAGATATAGGTTATTAATTCTTTAATTTTTTTTTTTGTTTGGGTCTTGAAGGGATATTAAATTATTTAGATTGTTTGATTATTATTTAAATTTAGAATGTGAACAAAATCTAATGGTAAAATTAATATGATATTTTAACAAATGTTTTAACTAAAGCGTGAGAAAGAATTATATATATAGTTGGTCTTTTATAATGTTTTTTACTTTATTTTATAATTAAAATAATATAAAATTATAATTAATATTTTATAAATAAATGGGTTGGGCTGGAATAGAAATCTACAAATTTTTGTTTATGGAGAATTTTTCTCAAAATTTTTTCTGAAAAACAAACCAAACAAGGCCGCTGTTTCTGATGGAAACTTGGATTAATCTGTGATTTTAATGGTATGGTCTTCCTTTTGAAAATTGTTTAGAGGAGAATCATGAGAATCAGCTGTATCATGCCTGCATATTGGCATGATGGATTTCAGGTGTTGTTTGGTGCAGCTTATAAAATTGCTGATAGCGTTTTTATTTTACTTTGGGAGATCAGTACTTTTAGCTTTTGGTTTTGGATTATTAACTATTAGTTTGAGAATAATTGCACCAAACATTCCTAATGCCCTCAAATAGATATGTCGAGAACACCATCTTCGCTTGTTTGTTACTGGCTAGGGATGGACTAACCTTGGGTCAGGCCTTAGAAGATATGTGTCATCTCAAGTTCAGTCCGGTCGACATCTAGCCTAATCTAATTATCTCAAATGCGGTTTTAAAAAAACTTTCAAATTTCAAGCTTATCAGCTTAACATAATAGATATAGGTTATTAATTCTTTAATTTTTTTTTTTGTTTGGGTCTTGAAGGGATATTAAATTATTTAGATTGTTTGATTATTATTTAAATTTAGAATGTGAACAAAATCTAATGGTAAAATTAATATGATATTTTAACAAATGTTTTAACTAAAGCGTGAGAAAGAATTATATATATAGTTGGTCTTTTATAATGTTTTTTACTTTATTTTATAATTAAAATAATATAAAATTATAATTAATATTTTATAAATAAATGGGTAGAGTTGGGTTAAAAGACTTTATATCAAGTTCAGATTGAATATTGAATGGAGATAAAATTTCAATTCAGTCTGATTTCATAGGTTGAATATTTTTTTTAAACTTTAAAAATATCGGGATGTATTAGATGGCTTGTGCGGGCCATTGGGCTCAGCTTACTGGCATGCTGATGATGATATGAGTTAGGTCGATGATTTTATTCTCTATTTTGGGATTGAAGAACAACATAGGATTGCTATTTTGGTTAATAAAGGTTGGAACTGTTATACTAATTACAAGGGTTAGGGATGTAAGGCCAATCGTCCTGTGGCTTGCCCGAGGCTCGACTAGGCCTTGAGCCCGGCCTAGTCTGACCCCTCCCATGGGCTAGGGCCTGGACAATGTATTTTTTGGCCTGACGATCTGGCCCAAAATTGGGCTTTAACAGTCGGCCTGTCTCCCCCAGTTAACGGTCTCATTTTTTTAAAAATCTTTCAACACTTAGAAATTTGACCATTTCAAACCGTCACTATTTTTTATTTTTATTTTAACCCCTACCCAAACTTTTACTATAAATACACCCCTTCCCAATTCATTTTCCTTCACAACCAAAACTCTCATTCTCTCTCATCTCTCAACTCTCTCAATCAACTTTCAAGTCTCATTCCTGAGTGACAATTGCAATTGTAAGAAGAAATTTTTATCAAAAGAAACTAATTTTTGTATCGTATTCGCCATTCGGTAACATTAATTGTTTGAATTAATATTTATTAGTCACTCATTTTCTAAAATTAATTATTAGTTAATATATATTACTTGTTTTAATTGATATTTATTAGTTACTCATTTTTTAATTAATTGTTTGTTAATATATATTCTTTAGTTGTATTAATATGGATCGTAATATTTTTGTCACATTGATGAATATACACAATATGAATTAGTTAATTTTCCTGCTATTCCTAACTCTCATGTAACAGCATCATTATCATCCAGGGGCTCATCTAGTGTTTTGGCGCATTTGAAAGAATATCTATAATTCTTCCTTATGGTAAAATTTAAAAAAATAAAATAAAATATAAATATTATGCAAAGTTACTTAATGCTACATCAGCAGGTGATACTAGTCATCTAAAAAGGCATGCTAGTAACCATTTACAAAGTCAACAACCTGATATTAGAACTCAAATGCAATTAGGGAGTTCATCAATTGGTAATTTGTATACATTTTCATAAGATTCTGTATGTGCACAAAAATATGCTAGTTAATTAATTATTAAAAAAGAATGACCTTTTACGACTAGTGAATGTTACAATTTTGCTGAATTAGTTCAAGAAGTTTTCGTACCTCAATTTCAAACTTTTTCAAGAAATATTCTTAGAAACAGAATATTAAAGAAATTTCATAATACTAATGTTGAATTGTTTAACATTTTTTAAAATTTGAATGGAAGCCTTTCTAAAAAAAAGATTTGAATGCAAGAGTTTGTTTAACATCTGATCTGTAGAAGTCAAATCAAGGTTTAGAATATCAATGCACCACTACACATTATATTGATAATTATAGGAAATTAAATAAAAGAATAATTTCATTTAAATTAGTTGAACTTTCATACATTGGTCATTCACTTGGGATAACAACTTACTCTAAGGCCTTGTAAGGATTGACTTGGATGATTATTCAGAAAATAGGTAGAGCACTTAGAGCAGCTCAAGGAATGCTTAGGCATTTGTCGCGCGATTTGTCGCTAAATCCACAGTTCTTAATGAACCAGGAACGACTGCTAGGACACAAAGTCGTTAAGGATTATGAGGAGAAGATGATCTTGGAAATGACGATGAGACCTCTAGAAGAGTACGCGCGTTAGCACACTACATATTTTTGCAAAATAAATTTTTTACCATTAATTTAGATAATGCAACATATTACAATAAGACTGTAGCGCATCTTTAAACAACTTTACAATTACCTCTTAGTGGTGATTTATTTCATATTAGTTGTTGTGCTCATATTTTAAACTTGATTATTAAATAAACTATGAATGCATATGAATATTTTGTAATGATAATAAAACAAGCAGTTGCTACTTATAATGTTTTTGCTAATCAAATTTCAGCATGTAGAAAATTATGTCAATAAGAAGCACGTATGCGACATCAGGTGGAATACAACATATAATATGTCAAATATAGCTTTAAAAAACAATAATACATTTATTTTTTGAAGCAACAACAATAGTAAGAGTATTGAAACCCACGGAAGATGACTAGCTCTACATAAGCTTATATAAAGATTTTTTAGAAGTTTTTGATCGTGCAACAAAATTATTTTCTTATATATATATATATATATATCTATTTCACCATTTGTTTTACATATGTTAGCAAATATAATTACAGTTTTCACAAATTGTATGCATGTTGAATATTGTATCACCATTATTACTGTTATGAAGGAAAATTTTGATAAATATTTTGATCCATTGCCTCATTTTTTTAGGTTTAGCCATTGTAGTTGATCCTAGGTGTAAAGACACTGGTTTACAAACTTTTTTACAACTTATTTTTTGATGATGAAGAACAATTTGATTATATTATTGTAACACTCAAAAAAGTATTTGCAGAATATAAGAATGTTGTAATTGTAAATAGACCACTTGCACGCACTACACCAGCCTCATCTCAATGTGGAATATTACATATTTGGTCAACAATAAGAACTAGAAGAATGGAACAAAATTGCGTCAGTAGTTCTGAATTATAACATTGGGCTCCTTGGATGAATTGTCAAAACTCCTTTGATGATTGATCAAAAAAAAAAATCAGTATTTAATTTTGTATTGTTTTTATTAGATTATTGAGGTCAAGTATAATGCAAATGATTGGTGGGCTAGAAGGTGCCAACTCAGTTGAGATGTACTTGACCTATAGTGATGTAATTTCTCTACCATCAATAATCTATATCAATAGTGGG